GAGAAACCTGCACTTACCTGCCTCATATACTTCCCAAAAGAGAAATCCAGAATTTGATCCTCTTTCTGTCAATATGGGAGCTGCTGCCATCAGCATGAGGTGTTGCCATGTTGCTGCTGTGATGCAGCAGTTATATTTCTGATAGTGGCACCAAGCAATTTAAACCTGTGAATCCTTGTCTCTTGACAAGAGCAGTGCAGGGTGGCTGAAGCCCTGAACTGCTGAAGTGCCAACTGTGAAGAGAAATGTGTGCAGTCATGAGAATTTCATGCTATGACACTTCTATGGATATTTCCTTTTGTACTATCTGCCACTGCCAGCTGACCAAGAAAAGCAGTTGTGGTACAAGTTTCCTAAATTGTAACACAAGGTTGAAACAGATGAATCTATGGTGTAACACTAGATCTCTTTCTAATACAAATGAAGCTGTATGCATAGGAAAAGTGTTTTCAAAGGTGTGTCAAATTTTTTAGGGGTTTGTTTGATTTTTGTGCTCTGAAGCATACTTTGATGCAGAACTGTTGCATTGCAGTCAGGAAATCCAGCACTACAAAAACATTTTGCTTCAGAAGTGTGAAGTTAAAGAAAAACCAGTAGTCATTCTATGTGGGTCGTTGATCATTCATCTCAAGGAAGGCTGAGGCAGGGAAGATGTAAAAGCTGCTCTGAACACAACTGATGTGCATTAGCTGTTAGCCTGTCTGCTTATGCCTGGTGAGGAATACACAGAGGCTTTCACTGTCCTTCTTCATGACAGAGCCACCCTGCTGCAGCTGAACTGTAATCCAGGCAAGTTTGGCACTGCGCACATCAGGATTATTCAATTTTGGGGTAAGGTGCTTTTCCATCTGAGCCTAGCCTTGAGTGAAATATCTTGGAAGAAGCAGAAAGATTATTCTCTTGAGAAATAGGGGTTTCTGTTGCTTTATCACCTCTTTCAAGATTTGGGGGGCATCCAGCAGGAGCCAGTGGATCAGGATGCCTGCCAAGATCTTGGATATTCATCTAGTAACTTAGTGAAGCAACAGTGCAACCTTTCATTAGAAATTTATTTTAATGACTTTTACTGGTCAGCTTCCTTCCCACTTAATTTATGCTAAAGAGCCTTAACCCTGACAGGTGGAGTTGCATAGTCTTATGTTTGCTTTTAGAAATAAACTGGCAAATGCTCTCGATTTTTTGTTGTCAGGGTTTTTTTCCTTTTGGTTTTTAATGTTACAGAAAAAAGAGGGAAGCACTCAGCTCAAACAGAAGTAATGGAGGAAAGTGAAGTCTGCTCCAGGCCTGCAGAGGAATAATATTTCACTAATCTAGATACTGCTTTCCAGTGTGGGGAATCTTGGGTGGTTTAATATTCCTAGGCATGATTCTGTCATAATTCTAAAAAGACAGTAATAATTCTTGATTGGAATGCTTGATGTTGGGAGGCTTCACCCTGTAGTGAGTCAGTAAATCTGTAGATTGGGAAACTACAGTCCAGTTGTGTAACTACAGCAGTTAGAACAAGCTCCAAAGAATGCTAATATAACACTGAGAATTGCCAGTTTCCTTTTTATTTCCTTTATTACAACCTAAATTTCTATATCCATACTGTAGAAAAGCTAATTTTCCTCTTACTGCTTTCCCCCATCTTGGACTTGTAGACAAAACTGCTGGCTCCCTCTCATTCTGGAGAAACTGCAGTATCTGCCAGAGGTGCAGAGATGCTGGGGATCAGAGACACCTTTGCCTCTTGCCTTGTGCTGTGGCAAGGTTCTGCTTAATCTGTGCCACGCTTTTCTCACACAAGGGAGCATGAGATGAATGTCAGGATCCAAACTCCCAGTGGAGATGCTCTGTTGCCACCTGAGCAAAGGAAGCAGTAGCTTACAGTACAAGACCCAGGCCTGCTCTTGGCTCAGTGAAATCAGTTAAAGCTTTTTGGATTAGCAGGGTGTTTTTTTTTCAAAGGAACTGACAAAATAACTTCAAAATCCAGAACCATTTGTATCTTGGAGCAGAGGTGGTGGTGGGAGAGGGGAGATATGCATGCAACCAGTAGATGAAATTAATTTTCTTATAGCTGATAGAATTGTTAACCTTTTTTTTTTTTGTTTGTTTTGCATGTTTGCAGTATTCTGTAAATGAAGCAGTGGCCTTGATTCCACTAACAAAATATTTTAATTTCTGAAATTCTTGTAGTTCTTTGACTGTTTGATCCTTTTGTATAGGATCAGAAGTAAATATGAAACACAATAGTTACTGTAACATTTTTTTTCCCTAGGCTGTGTTTTGAAAAAGTTCTCTTCATGGTGTTCATTAATCTGGACTGATCCAGATTAATGTTGTGGAATTCATCAGAGATTCCCATTTTATGAATATTCAAAGTGTCCCTAAGCTTAGCTCTACTATTCAGTGTGTGTATTGGAGTGCCAAGGAGCTAAAATCCTTTTCTTGTGAAATGCTTTTTTCCATGCCCATTTACAACTTTGTATAAGTTGTAAAGGTAGATAGGACTTTTAAGTGCTATCTGCTACTTGGACACAATATTTATGGCCAGTAAGAAGGAAAAAGCTTATTGGAAAGTCAAACAATTTTCCATTTTATAGTATTTTGGAACTAATTGTCAGAAGTTTAAATAGGTTTGGGGCTGATGTATCTGCCCAGGGAAAGCCTAGGGAGGTTTCCATTGTTAACTATACACTTAGTAGTTGGGGAAAAAACATTTAGTCACTTAGTTTTGCTTTGGAATTGGTTGAGTTTATAAACTCATCAGTAGGAAGGTAGCGTTACAGCTTACTTGCCAGAAGTTCTTAAAGTCTTCATTTCCAGCCTAGGCAAGTGAGCCTAGAAATGCCAGAGAAATGGAGATTACTGGCAGAAAAAGATGAGGAATGTATTTGAAATGTCAATATACAGACCAGGTTTCAGATGTACCTCAAATTCTTAATGCTCTATAATAATCCATTTCTGCCATTTCTGTAGCATTGCAATTTTTTATAAATTTTTTTTTTCAATTTCTTAAACTAGTTAGCAAGATTTGTTTCTATTTTTTCCCCTGTTTTCTACTTTTTCTGACTTTTGAAACAGGCAGATATTTTGACTAGAGCAGGTCAATAAGTGGACTTCAGCATAATGACTTTATTAAATTCTATGTATCTCTTGTTTTTCTTTCTCTACAAGCTGAATACTTCAATTTTTTTTTTCCTGAATAACTTTAATTTCACTGCTGTATCTGGACAATCTAGTATTTGCATCTGTTCTTTTATTAGACAGAAATACATTTTGCCTTTCCAGTCTGGTCATCACTGGGTATGTTTTGCCAGTTTTTCTGAAGGCTGATAAAATCTGCTATTGCCTTTTTTTCTGGGAAACGCTCATCATTCCTGTGAGTAGAAGCAAGAATTTAATACTATGATGTATTACTTGAAAAAGGCTAAGAGAAAGCTGCTTTTCCCATTATTCAGATGCCCAGCATCTGAGTGCTGTTAAATTGACTCACAGAAAATGGATAAATTTTGGCAACCTGCTGTAAAAAGGACATGTTCAACACCTCCAGCTACTACTGCTGAGGGAAGAGCTCTGGAGAGTGGTGCTTTTTACACCCCTGCTTAAAATGTTCTTATATTTCTAAAGGTGTACTGCTTCTCTTCAGTTCATTTTTCATGGAAGTAAAGCAGTTTATTCTTATATTTCCATGGAGGCCAGATGTGCTGCTGGAAAGAAAGCAGTCAGTGTTATTAGTGAGCACCGTTTTTGTCTCTTTATCTCTTTTTTGCATGGCATAGTCTGAAAGTGCTGCAAGCCTCCATTCTAAGGGAAAAGTTTTCATACAAGGGAGCATTCAGAATGCTTAGGACACATGGTTTTCTGCAGTGTTGTGCTGCTCTAGTGGAGAAGACCAGTGTTCGATTTTTTTGTGCACATGGTTTGGGATTAGATTTGTCAGCTGAACAGCTGAAATGTGTGGTTTTTTTCAGCTCTGTTTTTATTTACACTGAAGTAAAGTATCTTTTAACCAGCCAGAAGTATTTCCACATGATACTCATGAAATTAAAATGTGGGGGTGGGAAGTTCTGTTTTCCTCTGGTTTTCTGTAAGAAGTTGTGTCTGGGTGAGGATTATAACAACCTACAGTTTTGATACAGGCAAGAGTTGGTGGTGAATGTCTGGCTTTTGGTATTTTTTTTCCTATCACATGGTTTACTTTCAACAGAAGTTATTTTATTGTCTCCTTTGACAGAAAATATTACTTTTTGGTTAGTTTTTTTTTTTTTTCTTCCCCTTGCCCTCCAAGTACAAGAAGGAAATCATTGCTGTATATTGAATGATGTTATTAGTCAAATCAAATGTTTCAAATATTTCTTTATGTAGTGTAATAGCAGTCAGTGCACAGCAAAGCCTTTGACATCTAAACACTTAAAAATTAAATTTGTTTTGATTTTCCCTCCCTCTTCATGCCAGATATAACAAGCCTAATCTCACTGCTTGTTTCTGATTTGCATAGTTCTTCCCATATAGTCTCAAAACATAATTTTATGTATTAAATTTTATGCACAGCAGTGGTTATGTACATCTGCAGTTACTTGCTTTCCTTTTTCTGAATTGCTTGCTCTGTGAACTACTGCCCTTTACCCAAATTGGAGTTGGAATATGTCTTGTATAAAACAAAACAAAAAAGAACTGTTTGCTAAAGTTAGAAACCTTACCTTATTCCTGTGGAAAACATTGTACATATAGTTCTGGACATTACAGAGAACAACCAGTCTTAAATCCTTGTGGTAGATTACCTCCAATAAGCTCCACATGAGAATTTTATCTTTTAAAGTTGTAGTTAGTGTTGAGTTTGCAGTTCAAATCTAGGAAATGTTAGCTTCCTATGTGCTGAGTTGTTTTTTGTACATTCAGCCTTACCCCACTTGCTATTTCTGTAAGTTAAGGATAATTTGTGGTTTTGGTTTCTTAGTGAAATCTTGTACATAAGCTGGAAGACTCACTGTTACATTCTTTTCCACATACAGGCTCGTGTTATGTATGATTTTGCTGCTGAGCCTGGAAACAATGAGCTGACAGTCAGTGAAGGGGAGATCATCACAATCACCAACCCGGTAAGAAAACTGAGATAAAATTTGCTTCAGTGCACTTTCCTGACCTACTTCTATCAGCAGATGGAAGGAAAATGGTGCTGGTGACATCTTAAAGTCCTGGCTACCTTTCCCTGATGAATAAGCTAAAAAACAGTACAAAGAATTTTCTAATAGTCTTGTGGAATCAATATAGTGTTTTGGAGGATGGGGCCTTCTCAAACTGTGCCCACACACTTAAGAATGTGCTCAGCTTTGTTTTCCCCTAAACAGAGCTGAGAGACAAGTCAGAGGAAGGAACTGATGGTGGTGATTATCTTTACATCTGAATGCCTTGTCTATTTTTGTGTGTGTAATATTGCACATTTTGTGCGTATGTAACCTTTCAGGTGTTTGCCACTTGCATTTAAATGTGACTTTCAGCTCACTTCTAGGTTTTGAGTTTCTTAATCAATGACTTCAGCATTCCAAGTTTGGTAAAGAACTCGCAACAAAAATTTTTTACTGAATCTTTGTGTCCTTTCATAATTAAAGAAATATGGACAAGGTGTAGGGAAGAAGTGGTGACAATACTATCACAATGCTATGAGGGCATTGTTAAATGAATAGAACTTTTCAGCACTGATATTTGATTTATGTCCACATTTTGAATTTCAGTGTACTTTAATTGTCCTATATAATTCTTACCCTTGTAACAAGGTATTAGATGATTCTGCTTTGAATTTTGTGTAATTATATGGTTTAGTGAATAGACTTGCCTTGTAAAACAAATACGAACAAAAACCACCTAATCATGAAGCAATGTTGTTTATCCATTTGTATAAAACACATGGATTCTGTAAAATAAGCTTTATTCTTTGAGGATACTAGTCATGTGTAATCCTGATAATTTTTAGTTCCACTGATCTTCATTACTTGAGGCAGATATTTAATAGAGCCAGCACCCTCTTGGATAGTGTGCTGTGCTTGTGGTAGGGGTTACATTTTGAACAGATTCAGGAGCTTAATGCTATTTCACAAAAGTAAGACTAAATATAAATAAATGGATCACCACTTTTAAGCTAGTTCTCACTGACCAAGACATCTGTAGCTTAAGGCAGTGTACTCAAAACCAAGTAAAACTTTGTTTTATGCTGTCCATGATAAATTGCCACAAAGGCTCATGATCTTTTTTTTTATATGATAAGTTTAGATGGCTATAGCTTAAGTCATGCAAGTCCACTGATGACTGCTTTCAAGAGTAACACTGTGAATATGACTTCTGGCTCAAGATGTCATTGCTCTTGTAGTTTAACAAAGCTAGTTGAATTTATAATCTGAGATGTCTAATTATTTTTGTGTTCTTGAGTATTGAGCTTTTAAGTATGTAGGAGAAAATAAATGCAAGTTTTTATTTCACTAACTGCTTGATCTTAACTGCATAAAATCTTGAATACATAAGCAGGCTTCTCCTTATTGGAGTGCAGGATTATATAAAATTTTGAAGTGAAAGAACAAAATTGTGAATAAAAAAATACATCAATTGAAAATAAATTAAGAAAGCCTAAAATTTAGTAATTGCTGTCTAGCATATGTGTCTCAAATTTTCATCTATGAGCTAACTTGACATGTAGCTATGTGTTCCCTAAACAGGTTGATTTAAAACAGAGCTGGTTTATTCCAGATAATGTTTCCTGGAATTAGCTTAACTGCAAATGTCTACAGAGCTTTTGTAGTGTATGTAGAATATATATTTTAAAAACTCCAAACAATATCATTATGTCCCACTGAGATCAGAGCTGAACTGTTTTTATTTCTTTCTAAACTAATAGCATAAGACTGCTTCTGAAAAGAAATGTGAAGTGGAAAGAATGAGTCCAGATTTTATGTGGCATGTGGCTCTTTTAGTCTTGAGAATAGCCTTAACATTTCTGTGGGTGATAGCTCTCACTCCTCACATGTCTCTGCACCTTCAGTAAATGAGGTAGAGATTTTACAGATATCACCAACAGTTTTATTCTTTGTGTCTTGTGTCTTTATAGTCTGCTGATTAAAATTAATTCATTGAAACGGACATACTAATAGCTGTGTTTATATGCAGTCTGTGTCCAGACAGTTGATTGTGGTTTCATAAATGATCAAAAGTGCTGAAAAATCAATTATTTTTTCCCCTTCATGCTTGTTAAAATCTGAAGTCCAGAACAGCTGTGTAAAACCAGCATGGTCTGCGTTGTGTTTAAATGAGTATCTGCTACTTCAGCAGCTTTGCATGAGTTTATTCAGTTTCACAGTCACAGCTGTTTTGAACATTGACAGCAAGACAATGCTTCCTGCTGAGCATTTGACATTTGACAGCAAGACAATGCTTCCTGCTGAGCTAGATGAAGCATGTTGTAGGATCCATCTAGCAAAATTATTTCTATATGACTTCTTTTAGGATGTTGGTGGAGGCTGGTTAGAAGGAAAAAACAGCCAGGGCGAGAGAGGACTTGTTCCAACAGATTATGTTGAGGTAAGTGACACTGCTCAACACTAAAAAAGCAGAACTGCTGTAAAGACCATCCTCTGGTTTGCTGACCAGACTGAAATGCTCAAACAGAAAGCTTGGAATATATAATCTCGTTGTAGCTGGCTTTGGACACCAGTACAAACATTCCATCTGAAGCTCCTGAGCTTCTTAGTGGTTTAACAAGAAATGCAACAGGAAACTGTCTATAGTAAATACAGCTGATCTGCAGAACATGAGTTGTTTTGAATCTGCTTTGGTTTTGGGGGACTCATAATCCAATAATTGTGGCTTTTTTTCTGTCTGAAGATAGAAATACGGAAGTGAAATGAATAATGCAAGTTTGCACTGGTATTCTGTGGAAGACTTGATGCGTGCTCATAAATCTGGAATGGAGCCACATTTCTGGGGCTCAGGACATGGGTTACCAAATCCAGAGACTACTTAGCTTTTCTTCTTACTGAGACCCTCTGTTGTCTCTTCAGTGTGTGTTGTTCTGATTGTTGTTTAAAGACCAGTGATATTGTTTTGGGGATGTCATGGGATCACAGTGCAAAGACTGCAATCTCATTCACTCTTGGGTGGCCCAGTGTCTGCATGTATGCAGGTTGCTGCTTAGGTGGGTGAATACCTAGGCTGTAATTCCTGCAGCCTTTTAAGGCATGTGTCTCTCTTTCTTCAGCAGTGCTGTATTTATAAAAAAAAAACAACAAAAAACAAAACAAAACAAAAAAACCCAAGGGGGAGGAGGGGAAGGAAAAGCAGGATCATGCTGGCTCACATGACCTTGTGTTTTTGCTTTAGTTGTTTAGGTCCTGGTCTGGTAGCTTTTGGCTTTCTAAACTTACTGTCCCAAATCCATCCCCTGAGCACTAAGTTCACAGTCTCCAGGCATTTACATTAACAACATTTAATCCCTAAGCAATTTATAAATAGGTGTTCACTGCCACAGCAATCTTGTATGTTGTAGTTGTAAGGCAACCTAGTTCCATCTGGTGTGGAAGTAAATCCTCCAGTGTATCATGTCAGTTTCTTGTAAAAAATTAAATTGAATTTGAGTTTGAAAAGGTTATATGCAAACATCTTAAAGTGTAGCAAATGAGTGTTAGGGTGATTGTATATGATAAAGCATAATTTGATTAATTGAAGCATGAAAAATTATTCTCAAAAAAATATTCTTTTCCATTTCAGATTATAACCGAAGGTGCAAAAGATAGCCTTAGCTGTGGTAACTCATTAGCTGATCAGGCCTTTTTTGATTCCCTTTCTTCAAATACAGCTCAGACCAACTCTGCTGCCAAAAGCAGTAATCAGGTATGTCTTGTGATTTTTCGGGCACTGTGGGCATGGAAACTTCTATTGATGTAATTGCTTGCTGTACTTTATTTGTGAACTTTCATTAAAGTACTAATTAAAGTAATTGTGTTTTCATTAGGGAATACTTTTGTTGAATATTAATGATGTGTGTGATGGCACAGATACTGTCACTGCTGGAAAATTTAGTAGTCTTAACACTTTCAGAAATTGAGCATTTTTATTCTTTTCAGTCTGGAGTGATATAAATCCCTAACTACTTCAGTCTCTGTAAGAGTAAGTGCACTCTTAGCAAATTTATTTTATTTTCAAGCTACTTCTTTTAGTATGCTAACTTTTTTAAGGAATGAGAGCTTTCTTTTTTGATGTCTTATACAATTAGGGGATCTATACATCAGCAGCCAGAATATATTTCTTTTTCTGAATTTGAGTAAGAGTAGTTTCTTGGGTTAAAAAACATGAAGGAAATTCATGCATTGTCAGCTGCAGAAGAAGCTGACTTCGGGTTTGCGGCAAGAATATTTTTGTTCCTCTATTCATAGCTTTTTGTCTAGTGCACCAGTTCATTAAGCAGCAAATATTTAGTTCCAGGTTAGGTATCTGAGGATACATTATCTTAAACACAAGCAGTTTATTATGGTCTACAGACTGGTGCATGTCCTACATGTAGGAAGTTAAACATTTTGATGTCCATAGGTCAACAGAAGAACAAAATCTGCCTTTTTTCCAACAGCAGCATGCAAAGGTCTTTTGTGTTGGAAAGTAAATTCTTTACTTATGGTAACAGCTGGGGGGACACACCTGGTTTGTAGGTCAGTTAAATATCAGTTATTAGTTATTATTGCACCACAGGACTTTGACATGAAGTGAGATCTTTTGAAAAGTCTACATGGGACAGTTTTGTATGACAGTGAACATAACTGTTCATTGACTATAGAGAGTTTGATTTGGGCTTCCTTGTAGTGAGCTGGATAATGCCAGGATTGTTATTCGGCCATTGTGTGTCCTCACTGGAGGACTCCAAACCTCACTGTGACTGTCTCAATGTTTCAATGTTTATTTTTTTAATTGATACCCTGTTAATATGTAAGGCTAAATGCAGAACTCATTAAATGCCTCATGAGTTTTTCATGTCAGACTGAGCCAAATGTTTTGATTATAGGTTAGTTTTGCCTCAGTAAAAACTGCAGTAGTTTGAGTGCAGAATGGGGAACCGCTTTTCTTCCTTGCTGTCTGTTACTCTTGTCCCATGTTTTTCCTGCTGTAGTGTTTCTAGCAAAACTTTGCATCTGAGAGGGCTTGAGATATTTGCAGCAGCTACTTGCTGCCAAATCAGAGAGTACTGTTTCTTGGAGGAGAAACATAACTTAATTTGATCTAGGAAGAATTACTTAGTAATCTAATACACAGAATATTTTGAATGGGAATAGAGGTATCTGTCAGATCTTGTTCTGTGCTTAACACATGGTGCTTGAGCTTGGAGAAGAGAAGAAAAAAGGTCTTGTCTGTGCAGAGGGGAAGGTCAAAATAAAGGTATTTGCTATATTCTAAATAATAGAGAATTACTCTGGCAATCTAGTATTGGAAGTTGCATTTCTAGAGGAGTGAAAAGCTTGAAAATGTAGTCACTTTACACTGTAGTTCACACAAGATCAACAGTATACTGTCCCTGTGTACAGATTGCAGGTTTTTTCATAGATTTTGGAAAAGAGTAACTTCATGAAAACAGCTTGTCACATTTCCATCAGTGCCCTACTCTTAGAAGTGTCCTGTTCCTCTCAGTTATCCTTCAAATGCTGTGTGAGATAGCTGGGAGGCCCACTGTGCATTATGGTAAAACTACATTACTGGCATGGAGAGGGAGAGAGAGGAGGACAGGGTGCACCTGGATCTAGCCAAGGCCATGCAAGATGCAAGATTCAGTTTTATTTTTTTTTTTTTTCAAAGGAGGAACCGTTCTGTTGTGTGGTCAGGGTTTTATGTCAAAAGTTGTTTTCATTTTCTCAAGTCTTTTTTTCTTGAACTGAGTTCAATAACTGCTATTTAGTTATATGCATTTTCTATAAAACTGTAGATCTTGATTTGAAGACTGGTTTCCTCAGCTTCTGACATATATCTGGTAGATTTTTTCTAGTGGCTTATTGCTAATAGGATTTTTGTTTGTATAATGAGCAGTCTGGAAGCAGTTCTGGCTTCCACTTTTGACTGTTAGGCATTTCTCAGAGATCAGGGAGCTCTCTAGTGCACACATTTTCTCCTTACAAAAATTCTATGGCTAACTGTCTTCTTAATTAAGAAATTCTGTCTGTTCATTCTGTCTGTGTGGCGCAAGACCCTATTTTCTTACTCTCAGGGAAAAATGCAAGCTTTCTTCTGCAGCGACTTTGATCTCATGTCTGTGAAGTGCGTGCCTTGCTCCTGTGTGCATTGATCATGCAGTGTCAGACAGATTTGACATTGCTGCACCAGTGTAGAAACACTTAGAGAGAAGGATTGCATTGGTTCCGGTAATACTGCACCAGGAGGTCAGGCTGAGTCACCCTGCATACTGACATGTCTCCTTGAGCCACTTTCAATAAGAATGCAATCTCCTACTTTGTGGGTATGACCCTTCTTCCTAGAGGTATTGCTCTGAATGTGGTAAACATAAACTCATTTGTTTCTCAACACGAGTTTGCAGAGGCACTTTGGCTTGAGTTCAGATGAACAGCCTGTTCAAGTGCTTTAGTGACCAACTAGGTCAATATACAAAGCTTCTAATCTTAAATGAAACTCACACTAGGCTATGGAGAGTTAAGAAAAATGAAAAATTATGTGTCAATGTAAGGGGAATAGATGCTGGAGGTGGCACTGTACTGGAAACTAAAATGTTTTTAGATAGACTAGTCTGGTAGACTTAGTAAGAAATAGCAGTATTTCTAAATGCTGACATTTGATGGTATCTATTATATTTTGCAGTAACACAGTGGGGTTGCAAGTTTATTACAAGAGATCTTTATAAAAGCAATTCTAAATAAAGAGGATGTTTTAGTATTTTTTCTTACTGCTATTGTATTGAAGAAATTGCTTTCTATAAACATTGTCACTCTCACATACACATGGTTGCACAATGCCCCCACTCCCCAGTTCAGTAAGTTAGAAGATGTTTTAATTCCTAGAATTCCTTCCATTCTTCTAACAGCAAGTAAAAAAAACCCAAACCAGGTTGTTGTGTAGTCTTTCAGTGCCAAGCTTTATTAAAAATAATAGATCTGGCTGGGTTGAAATGTGGTGCTTTTGTGGTTTAACCCTTGTAGGCAGCTCAACCCACTCAGCAGCTTATTACCCCCTCAAAGAAGTAAGGGAGAAAACTAGAAGGGTGACTATGGGTCAACTCTTGGGTGGAGATAAAGCAAAATCTTCACATGCAGGCAAAGCAAAATAAGGAATTCATTCACTCCTTCCCATGGGCAGTCTGGTGTTCAGCCATCTCCAGGAAAGCAGAGCCCCATCATGCATAACCATTACTTAGGAAGACAATTGCCCACTCAAACAACTCTTCTTCTTCCCCCATCCCTTTTTGCATTCCAGACAGATGAGAGACTTTTGGTTTCCTACTCTGGAAACCATAACTTTTTGGTGTTAAGAAAACATTATTGATTCAAGCACTGTTCTGCTTCCTGTTTTATTTTCTTAAGAAGGTTTTTGTTGTTGTTCAGTAAATAATCTCCTGAAAAGAAATTAAAATGCAGTCATTAAAAACAGTTTATTTCCTTCCTTTTCTTCAGTGAGAAAGACTCAATAACCAGAGCAACACTTTGATATTGTACCCTACGTGGGGTTGCCACAGATCTAAAGTGACAGTAGAAAAAGGGCACAGAGATACTTCCTAAGAAGAGAAGGATTCCACCTGATCCTTGGCAGTTCAGTTTCTCCAGTTCATTCCTTGCATCAGTAGTGTCCCAGCAATGGCTGCCTTGATAAAATTTGCAGCTACTCTTTTAAAGAGCTATTTGAGAAGATGCTGGGGGCATCAAAGCAATCAGAGGAAGCAGTGAAGCTAATTAAACACAAAATGAGGGAAAAATTTGACTCAAGATGATTATTTACACACTCAGAAGAAGATAAGCAGATAGGGGAATTTATTGTTGTATCTGCCTGTAACATTTGTGCTTTAATGTCTGAAAAGCTTTAAAAAAATTATACAAGAAAATACAATTTAAGGAAGCCTTAATTGTCAAGGATGGAGGCTTGGCTTGACTTTTGTATGAGTCTCATGCTGTTTTGACTTCGTAGCTCTTGGATACAGAGAGCAGAGGGAATGAGTAATCTTCTCTGTCAATCCACTGTTCCGCTGAGTGGCAATGCAAGCTGATAATTTCAGTCTGTCATTTGGAACAGCCAGTAAGTATATCAGCACTTATGCTATTTCTATTGGTTAGAGTTGCATATACATATATATATAAGTTGCCTGTAGACTCTATTGGTATTGGAATAATAATAGTACTGAAATAAATATAAATTTTGTCAGGTTAAGCCAAGTGAACCTAAAAAATAGAGTGAACAAAAAGATTGTAATTTTTGATGTAAAATGCATCAAGTGTTTTTCCTCTTATAATATTTCTGTGATGCTGAGTTTATTCCAGAGGCTGTAGCAGTAGAGGATATTCTCTTTCACACTTCTAGATAGTGCTTCTTATTGCACTTGACAAAGAGGTTATTATCTTGGTGGCATTTGGAGCCTTCATAATTTACGTATGTATGGAAATACAGTCATTAATGTAAAATTCATTCTGAGTTGTCTCTTCCAGCTGGGTTGATTTGGGGTTTTTTGTGGTGGCCAGTATTAGTGCTTCTCTAGTTAAGGATGTATTTGCATTTATTTTGTTTGTGTTTCAGGTTCAGAGACTCCTGTTTTAACCGTAGTGATCTCTCTTCTCCTATTCTGAACCACAGCGTTTTTTCATTTATCTAACCTAAAATGCTTTAAAAGTTGTGAACAAGCAGCAGCTCTCTTTTAA